CTTTATCAATTATGGGTCTAACAGCTTCTAATTTTGTTTGGTACAACAATACTGCTTATCCTAGTGAATTCTACGGACCTACTGGTCCTGAAGCTTCACAAGCTCAAGCGTTTACTTTCTTAGTTAGAGACCAAAGATTAGGTGCTAACGTTGCATCTTCTCAAGGACCTACTGGGTTAGGAAAATACTTAATGAGATCTCCAAGTGGAGAAATTATTTTTGGTGGTGAGACTATGAGATTTTGGGATTTAAGAGCTCCTTGGGTTGAACCTCTTAGAGGACCCAATGGTCTTGACTTAAATAAAATCAAAAATGATATTCAACCTTGGCAAGAAAGACGAGCTGCTGAATACATGACCCATGCGCCACTAGGTTCTCTAAACTCTGTTGGTGGGGTTGCTACAGAAATTAACTCTGTTAACTATGTATCCCCAAGGTCTTGGTTGACAACATCTCATTTTTTCTTAGGATTCTTCCTATTCATTGGACATCTTTGGCATGCTGGTAGAGCAAGAGCTGCTGCTGCTGGATTTGAAAAAGGTATTAATAGAGAAAATGAACCAGTGCTGTCAATGAGACCTCTAGATTAGGCTATTATTAATATAAAAAAAGTTCTTGTAGTTATTTACAAGAACTTTTTTTATATTAATCCATCAAACCAGCTAAATACAAAAGGCCTTTACTTGTAACTAATTCAATAAAAACAACTGTTATAAAACCTATCATTGCGAGTCTACCATTCCATGTTTCGGCACTATCAGTAAAACCCCAAAACCAAAGATTTTTTTTCATTTTTTTATAATTATTTTCTTTAATATATGTGTATGCTATTTTAATAATACTAGATAAAGATAAAGCTGAAAATCAAATGTTAAATATATTGAATAAAATATGCAAATCCAAATTAACGTAGCTTCTCATCCATTAATACAGCATTGGTCTGGAATCCTAGAAAATAATAATAATCCGGGAACTATTTTAAGAACTGCATGCTCAGAATTAGGAAAATGGATTACTTATGAGATAATGAGAGAATGGCTGGTAACAGAAACAGTGAGCGTAAAAGATAGTAAAGCTATCAATCTTATTAGTAATCGTTATAAATATATCATTGTTATTGTAATGCCATATGGGTTTATACTCGCTGAAGGTGCTCGAGCTTTACTACCTACAGCTAATATAGCATTAGTAAATTATAATAACAGTATTGATAATATTTCAGATAAATTAGATTCATTTACGAAGATACTAATTTTAGATTTATTTCTAGATGAAATCATTATGACATCTGTTCTAAAAGAGCTAATCAACAAAGGTGTAATATTAAACAATGTTAAGATAGCCTGCTTAGAATGCGGATCATCTCAATTAAACCAGTTAGGACAGAAATGGTCTGCACTAGAAATATACACTACAAAAGTTAATGGCCTACTCGATAGCTCTGAAGCTGCCAAAGAACAAATTCTTAAAGATAAGTTTTTTGCTTAACTTTGATTGTTTATATTCGTTCGAATATATAATCAAATTGTTAGTATAATAAGCTATATAATAATTATGAAATACGTATGAATACTCTTCCTGGTACATTAAATTTATTACTTGGATCAATAGCTAATTTTTCTGAGATTTATTTAATTTTGATTTTGCTAAAACTATCATTAGCATGGTTTCCAACTGTAAATTGGTACAATGAACCGTTTTGTTCATTAAATCGCATTACAGACCCGTACTTAAAACTTTTTAGAGGAAGTATTCCTCCGATGTTTGGAATGGATATGTCACCAATGCTTGGTATAATTTTTCTACAATGCTTGATGGTTATATTTAATAATGTTAGGCTGGAATCTGCTTAATTTTTTGAATTATTGCATAATATCGTAAGATATAATTTAATAAAGATATAAAAACAAACTAAATCGACAAGATGGTAAAACTAAGATTAAAAAGATACGGAAGAAAACAACAACCTAGCTATAGAATTGTTGCTATGGATAGTAGAAATAAACGCGATGGCAAAGCCATTGAAGAGTTGGGATTTTATAATCCAATCACTAATGAAACTCATATTGATAGCGTAAAAATATTAAAGAGACTCAAACATGGCGCACAAGCTACAAGAACTGTTCAAAATATTTTAAACAAGGCTCAAATTGTTGAAAGAAAAAATAGTGAATAACATATCATAGTGTCTACACATTAAATATTTATAACGGAGATAATAACTTGTCTAAATTCACACTAAAGGTACTTTGGTTAGAAAATAATATTGCTATTGCAATTGATCAAATTGTTGGAAATGGCACTAGCCCACTGACATCTTATTTCTTTTGGCCTAGAAATGACGCTTGGGAAGAATTAAAAGCTGAGCTAGAGTCGAAACCATGGATTGCTGAAAGAGATAGAATTGAATTATTAAATAAAACTACTGAGGTTATTAATTACTGGCAAGAAGAAGGTAAAAAGCACTCTTTGTCGAAAGCACAAGCTAGATTCCCAGAATTTATTTTTTCAGGTAGTAATTAGCATAGTACTATCTATTATTTTTATAAAAAAACATAAACATACAAGAAGATAAAAAGTATTATTCAAAGAATACAACGTCAATTGTCTTATATTTTAAAATGAACAATAAAAGTTTAATCTTCTTGGCTATCAAATCTTTAGATATTCAAAACCAAACATGTGCAACAATCAATACTATCAATCTAAATTTTGATGATCAATTAAATCAGTTTATCATTGATTCTGGTATACAATCAGACAAAGACTTAGAAATTATTATTTCAAAGGTTTTGAATTCAGCCAGCCATTCATCTTTATATGATAGCAATTTAGCCAACAATTATCAGAGAAGATTTTTATACTATTTTAAAAAAATGTCATTTTTAAAATATATGGAAAAATCTATATACGAAAATAATATTCTAATTGAAAATTTAGGAATTACAGGGTTATATTTAATTTATTTAACAATAGAATGTAAAGGACTATTTAAACTTTGGCTCTACTATGAAATTTATAATTTTGAACAGTTGATAAAATTAGTTGAGACGAAGAATAATTTGTAAGTATGAAAATTATTCTTCGTTTAATATTAGAGATGTTATAAAAGATATATTTTATGCTTCCAATTTATCAACAACAATACATTCAGTAGTTAAAACCATAGCTGCAATAGAAGCTGCATTCTGTAGTGCCGACCTAGCAACTTTTGCGGGATCTATAATACCAGTATCATACATATTTACGATCTTTCCGTTAGATGCATCATAACCTATATGGAAATCATTAGTTTTGACTTTTTCTATTACCACAGCTCCGTTATCGCCAGCATTAAAAGCTATACGCCTTAAAGGGTAAGTTAAAGCTCTTTGAACTATCAAAGCACCTATCAACTCATCTTCAAATAAATTATTTTTAGCCCATACGAATAATTCTCCGGAGATATGAACATTTGTAGAGCCTCCTCCTGGAACAATTCCTTCCTCAATTGCCGCTTTTGTTGCATTAATTGCATCTTCCAATCTAAGCTTTTTATCTTTCATCTCTGTTTCAGTTGCTGCGCCAACTTTTATAACAGCAACTCCGCCAGAAAGCTTAGCTAATCTTTCTTGCAATTTCTCTCTTTCGTATAACGAGTCACTTATTTCTATTTGTCTCTTAATTTGTTCGCATCTTGATTTCACTGTAACTTCATGACCATCAGCAATAATTGTTGTTGAATCTTTAGTCACAACAACTCGTCTAGCTTGCCCTAGCATATCTAATTGAACAGTGTCGAGCGAGAGACCAGCATCTTCTGTAATTACTTGTCCACCTGTTAAGATACTCATATCTTCTAATAAAGATTTTCTTCTATCTCCAAATCCTGGTGCTCGAACTGCAACAACATTTAGTATTCCTCTTAATTTATTAACCACAATAGTCGCTAAAGCTTCTTTTTCTATATCTTCCGCTATTATTAATAGAGGCTTTGAGGTTTTTGCTATTTGCTCAAGTAAGGGTACAAGTTCTTGCTGAACTAAAGTAATCTTTTTATCTGTAAAAAGGATAAATGGATTTTCCTGGAGAACCTCCATACGCTCCATATCTGTAACAAAATACGGTGAAATAAAACCTTTTTCGAACTGCATACCTTCTGTTATTTCAAGACTAGTGTTAGTTGACTTACCTTCTTCTAAAGAAATAACACCTTCTCTGCCTACTTTGTCTATTGCATTAGCTATCATTTTACCAACTTCTGTATCATTGCCTGAAGAAATAGAGGCTACCTGAACAATAGCTGTTGTGTCTTCCACTGGTTTGGCATATTCAGCTATTTTGTTAACTACAAAATTGGTTGCTTTTTCTATTCCTTTCTTTATAGCCATTGGATTGGAGCCTGCTGCAACATTTCTCATTCCTTGCTTGACTATGGCAGAAGCTAACACTGTTGCAGTTGTAGTACCGTCACCGGCTACATCATTTGTTTTAGATGCAGCTTGTCTAATAAGTGCTACTCCAGTATTTTCAATATGGTCTTCGAGACTAATCTCTTTTGCAATAGTAACACCATCATTTATAATTTGAGGTGCGCCAAATTTCTTTTCCAGTACAACATTTCTACCTTTAGGACCTAGGGTAACAGAAACTGCTTCTGTTAAAATATCCATTCCTTTTTCTAATGCTTTGCGGGCATCATCTTGATATAGAATTTGTTTACTCATGTTTAATAGAACTCTTTTAAAATTTTTAAAGACAAATTAAATGCTTAATCAGTTCAATGATAAAGCAAGGGTGAAAATTATACAAATCTTTTTAAAAAAATTAAATAATTTATCTTTTAAATATTGGTTTGCAGAACTATAAGAATTCCTCTTCATCTAGAAAATTCTCAACTATTCAAGAATAACTTATAGAAATCATCTTATCAGAGAGAGTCTGGGGATGAAGAATTTATTCAGAAGTTTTATAGTTGTATATAGATGAAAAAAATGATATAATAAAAATGCTTATTAAGTGGGCTTGTAGCTCAGTGGATTAGAGCACATGGCTACGAACCATGGTGTCGGGGGTTCGAATCCCTCCTTGCCCGTAGTTTATAAAACGTCAAATAAACATTTTAGTGTATAATACGTACATGTTAGTGTACAACTGCTATCTAGTGCAAAAAAATTAGGAAAATGATCAAAACAGTATCATGGCAAAAATTCAGGCTATTAGAGGAACTAAAGATATTCTACCAGATGAGCAACTCTATTGGCAGTTCATAGATAAAAAAGTTGCCAACTTGCTCAAGTATGCGAATTATAAAGAGATCAAAACTCCTATTTTTGAAAATAGTGATCTATATGATAGAGGAATTGGTGAAAATACAGATATTGTAAACAAGGAGATGTATCGATTTAATGATCGGAGCAATAGAAATATCACATTAAGACCGGAAGGTACTGCGGGCGTTGCTAGAGCATTCATTGAAAATAGAATGGATATTCAAAACAAGTTACAAAAACTATGGTATAATGGTCCAATGTTTAGATATGAAAGACCTCAAAGTGGCAGACAAAGACAGTTTCATCAACTTGGTATTGAATTTATTGGTAGTTCAGATGCAAGAGCAGATACAGAAATAATTCATTTAGCAATGAATATTTTTAAAGATCTATCTATTAACGAATTACAGCTTGATATTAATTCAATCGGCAAAGCAAAAGATAGAAATCATTATCAAGCAAAATTGCAAGAATATCTTGAACAATACTATGATGATTTAGATGCTGATTCGCAAAATAGACTTTCATCTAACCCTATTCGAATTTTAGACACAAAAAATAAACATACACAAAAAGTTTTAAGTGATGCGCCTCAAATCTCTGACTTCTTAAGTCTTGAGTCTAAAAAACATTTTAATTGTGTTTGTGATTATTTAACCTTACTCAATATTCCATACAAAATAAATACACAATTGGTGCGAGGTCTAGACTATTACAATGATACTGCTTTTGAGATTAAAACATTAAAGTCTCATGGGCAAGATACGGTATGTGGAGGTGGAAGATATGATAATTTGATACACCAGCTTGGTGGAAATAACACTCCAGCTGTAGGGTGTGCTATAGGCCTAGAAAGACTACTATTAATTGCAAAGGAAAATATATTACTGCATAATATGTCAATAGATTGCTATGTTGCTTCGCAGGGAACAAAAGCTCAAGAGATCGGAATGATAATAACTCAATTTCTTCGCAATCAGCTTATAAAAACTGAGTTAGACATAAGTTCTAGCAATTTTGGCAAACAAATCAAACAAGCACATAAAAAAAGAGCTATAGTCTGTTTAATTTTAGGAGATAATGAAGTTCAACAAGAAACAATTACTATAAAATGGATGTGTACTCAAGAGGAAGAGAATATCTCAATTATTCAATTTAGAAACAAAATTTCTTATCTAAAAAAGAAGATTGCTTTTAGCAAAAAATTCAATAGCTACTAAATTATTATTATCTCTTGACATGGTAGGGGATATGACTGCTATTATAGTCTTCATATATTGGGGTGTAGCCAAGTGGTAAGGCAGCGGACTTTGACTCCGCCATTCGCAGGTTCGAATCCTCCCACCCCAGTTAAATTACAAAACACTTCATAATATTTTAACAGGATTGAGCGGACTTGAACCGCTGACCTAGCGCTTAGGAGGCGCTTGCTCTATCCATCTGAGCTACAACCCTTAATTTCACTTAAAACATTATATGGCTAATATCAGCATGATTAGCTTATAATAAATTAATTCTTTGAATAGATAAAAAAAATTTTAACGATAGTAAGTGTCACCAATATATCTGTATTAGAAAAAATATACTTCTAGAAGTCCTAATCACATACATAATAACTATATTGGTAAATTTTTTACTCACTAAAAAAGCGACACTACACTTTTCTAAATTTTAGAAAAAATTATCATTAACTAAATAGTGAATTTGTGATAGTTCTATAGCATTAACTTTTTATTTAAATACGTGCCTACTTTAAAAACTACACTTTTCAATTATAAATTGTATTTTTAGTAAACTTATTTTTGTGTGTCTTGCTGCCTGTACTTATAGAAATCTAAAGTACAAAAAAAGAAAAATTACAGTTTTACATAATAAATAGAATTTGATCTGCTGGTAATATAAGCTTTTAAAATAGTTATTTAGTAAACATTAAAGAATCAGAAATCACTTTTATCCAATATAAATCATATATAAATTTAAAAAATTGATATGGCAACAATTCAATTTATTCAAGGCATCAATGAAGAAGTAGTGCCAGATGTACGTTTAACAAGATCTCGAGATGGTAGTACAGGAACAGCTACATTCAGATTTACTAATCCTAAAATTTTAGATGCTAGCATGGCAGATAAAGGAGAAATTACGGGTATGTATCTAATGGATACTGAAGGACAAATAATTACAAGAGATGTCAATGCTAAGTTTATTAATGGTAAACCACAAGCAATCGAAGCTGTACATGTAATTAAAAGTCCGGATGACTGGGATCGATTTATGAGGTTTATGGAAAGGTACGCTCAAGATAACGGACTCACTTTCACAAAAGCTAATTCTTAGACTGAATCTCAAAGTAAAACATCACAATATTATATTGTATAAGCAAATTCATCAAATAACTTATATTAATTTGATGAATTTTTTAAACAAGCGATTAATTAAAAATTCAATAGTTCTATAAAATAGATGAAAAACAATTATGAAAGTTTCTTTAAATTGGTTAAAAGAACTTGCTAGAATAGAAGTAATAAACATAAATAGTTTAGCTAGCAAGTTAACGCAAGCAGGCTTTGAAGTAGAAAATATTGAATTTATTGATATAGATGGCTATACAGACTACATCTTAGATGTTACCTCAACAGCCAATCGATCAGATGCACTTAGCATGATAGGGCTATCTAGAGAAGTCTCTGCTTTAATTCAGGCTGACATGGTTCACATAACTGATATTCCATCAACAGACTTATTTCGGAATAAGAATAATATAATTAGAAATGGTAATCTTTTAAATTGTAATTACTATTTATCAGCAATTATGGATAATATAGTCATAAAAGATTCTCCAACATGGCTAAAAAATCGTCTATACTCTTGTGGCTTTATAAGCCAAAATCTTCTCATAGATATTAGCAATTATATTATGTTAAAATGGGGGCAGCCAATTAGTATTATAGATTTCAATAAAATTGTCAGTACTGATAATCAAGATTATGTCGAGATCACTAGTAATTTTTGCTCTTGTAAGCAAAATTTCATTAAACTAGATAGTAAAGATATTACTTTAAGTAAAGATATTTTAATTACTGAGATAAATAATAATATAACTAGCGTAGCGGGTATTGGCATAAATCATAAATTTAGTATTGATCAAAACACAAAATCAATTTTTATAGAAGCTGCAATCTTTAAACAGGCAGTAGTTAGAAAATCATCGAGAAGTATTGGTATCCGTACTGAAAGTTCAATTAGACAGGAAAGAGGACTTAATATAGATAATTGGGAAAGCGCTTATCATGAAACTTTGTATTTACTAAAAGAATTAACTGACGGCAAGGTAAAAAAAACATTTTCAAAAAAAACATTTTCAAATTCCACTCTTACTATTGATATATCATTAAAAAAAATTCATGATATTTTAGGACCAATTAATGATAATAATACGGTTCGTTTTTTATCTTTTAACGAGATTAAGAAAACACTTGAGTCTCTTCAGTTCAAGATTGCAAAAGAAAATAATAAGAAATTGAATGTTATTATCCCTAATTATAGGAAATATGATATATTTCGAGAAATTGATATTATTGAAGAGATTGCTAGAGTTTATGGTTATGATAAATTCCAAAGTACAATACCAAAAATTCAATTTGCCCAAAATCCCCCCTCTAGAAAACAATTTACTGATCAGATCAGAAGTATTTTAAGAAATTTAGGATTAACAGAATTAGTTCACTATTCGTTAGTGAAATCCAATGGAGAAATTAATTTAAACAACCCTCTTATTAAAGATTACTCTACTTTACGCTCTAGCTTACTAGAAGGCTTAATGACTACCAGTGCATATAATATCAAGCAAAGTAATCAAACTGTAGATGGATTTGAAATAGGAACTGTATTCAACCTAAGACAAAATAAAATTATAGAGACAACAAAACTAGCCATTATATTAGGAGGAAACTTAGATCTTAGATCAGAATGGTCCGAACCTGCACATTCTTTAAACTGGTATGAAGCAAAAGGCATTATTGAAAACTTTTTTCGGAAATTAAATAAAAACATTCAATGGGTGAAAAGACAATTAACAAGTGGTCAAATCAATTTCGTTCACAATCATAAATCAGCTACTTTAACTTATAACAATGATAATATTGGATTATTCGGTGAACTAAATCAGTTAGCATCTTCAGAATTTAATTTTAGTACAAAATTATTTGTTCTAGAAATCGATTTAAATGCCCTAACACATTATAATACAGAACTGAATTATTTAAATTATCGCATTCAGCCTTATTCTAAATATCCGTGTATTACACGAGATTTATGTATAATAATACCGCAAAAAATGCAGATAAATTCTTTATTTGAATTATTAAATCAATTTAATGATGATGACTTAGAAAATATTGCATTGTTTGATCAGTATAATAATAGATCACTTGGAAACGGCAAAAAAAGTATAGGATTGCGCTTTACATATAGATCAAATCAGAAAACTTTGACAAATTTAGAAATAGATAATAAGCAGAATGAACTTCAAAATAATATTATCAAAAAACTGAATTTAGAAATTCGCAACTGATAATGATCAAACAAGACACAAAAAGTACTACATAAGCCGGGTTCTGTTCTTCGAATACATTGGACTAAGTATTGCAAAGGATAGCTATTCCTCTAGAGTTATTGTTACCAATAACTTCATGCAGTATTTTAAACTAAACTACTAAAAAATACAAAAAATTTGTTTAGTCGCTTTGCTCCATTTCTGGGGTTTACCTAACAAATACTTTACAGTATTTTTGGTTAGCTCTTAACTTACCTTTGCACCCTTACCAGCTAATATAATTTATTCTGGCGGTTTATTTCTGTGGCACTGTCCTCATAGTTTCCTACACTGGGGTTTTTCCAGCATAAATTGTATTTGTGGAGCCCGGACTTTCCTCAGATTGTATTAAATGGAATCTGTAGCTATCTACGTTTACTTTTTATGTCTTATATGTATTTTAATCTATTTCAAGAGATTATTACAATGACTCACATTAAGGTTGATATAAAATATTAGTAGAATACAAGATCAAATATAATTTTTAATTGAATTTCCTAAATATGACAAAACATAATGAAAGTTTCACTCATCGAAATTTTGCGGCCGTCTTACAAAAATATAAATATGATTTAAATCTTGGTGATATTGTAGCCGGCACAATATTTAGTTTTGAATTAAATGGAGTATTAGTAGATATTGGAACACCTATATCTGCGTATTTACCAATACAAGAGGTATCTAGTAATCAGGAACTTAATAATTTTAACTCTTTAAATATTAATGATACTAGAGAGTTTTTCTTATTAGATTATAACGTTGAGTCAAAACAACTAATTTTATCTATTCGGCGTCTTGAATATATAAGAGCCTGGAAAAGAATTAGGCAATTACTAGCTGAAGATTCCTTACTAGATGTTAGGATCAAAGGATTTAATAAAGGAGGCATGATAGTTAACCTAGAAGGTATATCTGGCTTTGTTCCCAATTCTCATCTAAACAGTTTTCACCAAAATACCCCTTCTACAAATAAATTTATTAAACTCAAATTACTTAATGTTGAAGAAAAATCAAATAATTTAATACTTAGTCATAGGAGAGCTTTAATAGCGCAAGCTTCATCTAATCTAATTGTTGGGAATATTATCGAGGGGGTAATCAATCAAATTACACCTTACGGGTTATTTATAAAGTCTGGAAATCTAAAAGGTCTCGTACATATTTCTGAAATTAATGTTAAACAAGTAGAAAAGATAACATCTAAATTCAAAATAGGTGAGACAATAAAAGCAGTTATTATTCATGTAGACAAAAAACAAGGGCGGTTATCATTATCTATGAAACATTTGAAATGAAATCTCAGTGTCTTGAAATACTCAAGACAAATTACCCTCCACCTACAATAGTAATAATTTCAATTTTATCTTGGTCATTTAAATAAGTTGAATGGAAGAGGCGCTCAGGTAATAAAGTATTATTTAGTTCAATTGCTACACGCTCAGAATTAAAATCAAGATAATTTAATAAAAATTGTAATGAAAGAGTCCCTGAACAATTAAATGGCTCTCCATTAATTTGAATATTTATATTTTTATTGATCATATAGAACTAATTATAAAAATTACTAAGAAAAATAGATTAATGTAATACTAGACGACATATACGAAAACAAGCTATAGTTATAATATGGCGAGTGTGGCCAAGGGGTTAAGGCAATGGGTTGTGGCTCCATCATTCGCGGGTTCGAGTCCCGTCATTCGCCCTATATTTGATTTAATAAATTATTTTTTATAGAATATTTAACCAATAAAGTTCTGTTTTTTGTATTTGTCTTTTGTAAAAGACGACTTACATATTTTTCTACATTTCTCGTACTTGTATCTAATATAACTGCTATTTCTTTATTAGTTAATCCATCAATTACAAGGTTAAGGATGCTTTTTTCTCTAGGTGTCAGATGAAACGATTTGAATAAAGGTAATTCAATTACGTTTTGTTGTTTGAAGTTTTGGTCATTTAATGAATCTCTATAAATTAAATTTTTAATAAGCGAAACTAGTTCTTCTGGATCAAATGGCTTAGATAAATAACCATAACAACCCATATTATACCCTTTAATTCTATCTTTTGTCATTCCTTTCGCTGTTAGAAAAATAACAGGAATTTTTGCAAGTTTTTCAATTTTTTGCAGTTTTTCTAATAATTCGTATCCATCAATTATAGGCATTATTATATCCGATATAATTAGATCAAATTTATATTTATTGGCAAGCTGAAAAGCTTCCAATCCATTAATAGCAATAGCAACATTAAATCCTTGATCTATTAAGTATTCTTGAATTGCTTTCGATAATACAGTATCATTTTCAACTAACATCAGATTGTAGGACATTTAATTTTAATTATTAAATTATTAAAATTTTTTGGTACATTAATTATTATAAATTAATTATGAACAATCATTATTTGAATCAAGAGTGTTCCTTTGAAAAAGTACCAAAAAATATTGTTAAAAAAAATTCTTGTTGTAGTCCATGGCTAAATTTTTTTAATCAACAAAGTGCTGAACATCAAATATTTTCACTTAAACAACACGATGTTCTCATCTTTGATGCTAATTCTACGTTATATATTATATTAGCAGGATGCTTAATTGTTAAAAAAGTATTCAGAAATAGAAAAAAGATAATATTAAATCTATTAACTTCCGAAGATACTTTTGGGCATACACAATTTGCAAGTAGCCATTTTTACTATGAAGTAGAAGCAATAGATGTAGCGCAAATAGTATCCATTGAATACTCTACTATTATGAGTATATGCCAGAACCATCATAAGTTCAGTGTATTTTTTATAGATCATCTATTATTGTGTTCAATAAAAGCAAATCGCTTTATGGAAATCATTTCACATAAAAGCATTACGAATAGGCTTGTTAGCCTCTTACTATTATTATCTGAACATAATGGAATCAGCCAAAGTAATGGAATTTTTCTTAATTTAGCTATCACTCATAGAGTTTTAGCACAAATTATAGGTAGTAATAGAGTTAGTATAACAAGAATTATGTCTGAATTAGTTCAAACGAAATTAATTTCTATACAAAAAAAGAAAGTCATTATTCACGATCCGATTTTATTGAGTCAAAGGTTTTTTAAATAAGTAAATTGCAATCAAATATCTAAAAAAATGTTATAATTATAAATATGTATTAGTAGTAAATTAATACAAGTTCAATAAATAAATTTATTGACTCCCTAGTAGCTCAAACGCAAAAAATATATTAAAAAGCTTTTTGAAGCTATTTTATGAGTAAAATTTATGACTGGTTTGAAGAAAGATTAGAAATTCAAGCAATTGCTGATGACATTTCTAGTAAATACGTGCCACCTCATGTAAACATCTTCTATTGCTTAGGAGGGATTGTATTTGTATCTTTTTTAATTCAAGTTGCAACAGGTTTTGCAATGACATTCTACTATAGACCTACAGTTGCTGAAGCTTTTACATCTGTAGAATATATTATGACTGACGTAAACTTTGGCTGGTTGATTAGATCAATACACAGATGGTCAGCTAGCATGATGGTATTAATGATGATATTGCATGTATTTCGTGTTTATTTAACGGGTGGATTCAAGAAACCTAGAGAATTGACATGGGTAACAGGTGTAATTTTGGGAGTTTTAACTGTTTCTTTTGGAGTTACAGGTTATTCTTTACCATGGGATCAAATCGGGTATTGGGCAGTAAAAATTGTTACAGGTGTTCCTGATGCTGTTCCAATTGTTGGGGAGAGCATAGTGGAATTATTAAGGGGAGGAGTTAGCGTAGGACAAGGAACTTTAACTAGGTTTTACAGCTTACATACTTTTGTACTTCCGCTTTTAACTGCTGTTTTCATGCTGATGCATTTCTTAATGATAAGGAAGCAAGGAATTTCTGGTCCATTATAATACGTGAGTACTCACTAATGTAAAAAATTTATTTTAAATCTTATATTAAATAGAACAATAATATGTCAATTCTTAAAAAACCTGATTTAACAGATCCAAAACTCCGAGCTAAATTAGCGAAAGGTATGGGCCATAATTATTATGGGGAACCAGCTTGGCCAAACGATCTATTATATGTATTTCCAGTAGTAATTCTTGGAACTATTGCATGTAGTATTGGATTAGCAATTTTAGAACCTTCAAGTTTAGGTGAAAAATCTAATCCTTTTGCCACTCCATTAGAAATCTTACCAGAATGGTACTTCTTCCCAACATTTAATCTACTTAGAGTAATTCCAAATAAATTATTAGGTGTTTTGAGTATGGCCGCTGTACCAGCTGGATTATTAACTGTTCCATTCATTGAAAATGTTAACAAGTTTCAGAATCCATTTAGAAGACCAATTGCTACAACTATTTTTTTAATTGGTACTGTTGTTACTATTTGGTTAGGTATTGGTGCTACCATGCCTATTAATAACGCAATTACACTTGGTCTATTTTAGTAAATTAAAATAGAATAAAAATGTGCTTTTGTTTCGAAATAAACAAAAGCACATTTTTATTCTATTATTTTAAACCAACTGTTGCACCAGCATCTTCCAACTGCTTTTTCATAGCTTCTGCATCATCTTTTGATGCACCTTCTTTTAAAGTTTTCGGAGCAGACTCTACTAAGTCTTTTGCCTCTTTCAATCCTAAACCAGTAAGTGAACGCACTACTTTCAAGACGGCTATTTTCTTAGGTGCAGGAACTTCTTCTAAAACAACATCAAATTCTGTTTTTTCTTCAACATCAGATGCAGCTGGCGCTGATGATGGAGCTGCCATCATTACTCCTCCAGAAGCAGCAGATGCATCTACATCAAATGTTTCTTCTATTTGCTTAACTAATTCAGCGGCTTCTAGAAGATTTAAGGACTTTAATTCTTCTAGGATATTTTCAACTTTTGTGCTCATAATTAATAAGTTATATAAAACTCTATTTATTGCTGGTAAGATATAATAAGTAGATTCTTAGACTTTTATTGAAAGCCAATTACTATTTTAAAATAGCAAGTTATTTAATTATATACAAAGTTTTTATAAAAGGCTAGTAATATCAATTTGAATAGATGGCCCCATCGTACTAGAAATGAAAAAGGTTTTCCAGTATTTACCTTTTGAACCAGACGGCTTATTTTTATCGATCGAATCTTTAATTGTTTGCAAATTCATAAGTAAATCTCCTTCTGAAAAACTAGATTTTCCAAAAGGAACATGAATAATGCCGGTTCTATCAACCCTATACTCAACTTTACCACCTTTAAATTCATTGATAGACTTTATAATATCTAGAGTAACTGTTCCCGCCTTTGGTGATGGCATTAATCCTCTCGGTCCTAAGACTCTTCCTAATTTTGCAATTAAGGGCATTACATCCGGAGTTGCTATTAACTTATCAAAATCTAGTCGGCCTCTAGAAATTTCATCAATTAATTCTTCTGAGCCACTGATATCTGCCCCAGCACTTATTGCTTCTGTTAACTTTTCACCTTTAGCAATAACTGCTACTTTTACTAATTTTCCAGTTCCTTTTGGCAAAATAACTGTTGCTCTTAATTGTTGATCTGCATACTTAGGATTCAATCCTAGAGAGATATGAGCTTCTGCAGTCTCTGTAAATTTTGCATTTGATGTTGCTTGTAGCATGGCTATAGCTTCATTTAAGCTATATAGTTTAGGATCAACTTTAGATTTCAAAGTTTTGAGTCGACGTGAAAATTTTTTCATAAAGTAAGAAATAAGTATAATTGAAATTTTTTAATCTTTTATTAAGATTCCCATATTTTTTGCAGTTCCTCCAACTATTTTCATAGCTTGAGATAAATTTTTTGTATTCAAATCGGGCAATTTCGTCTCAGCAATAGATTCAAGCTGCTTAGTAGTTATACTACCTATTTTTTTTGTATTAGGTTCACCAGATCCTTTATTCAGACCAGCGGCTTTCACAATTAACACGGATGCAGGTGGAGTTTTTAATATGAAAGAGAAGCTTCTATCTTCATATACTAAAATTTCCACAGGAATTACTAGTCCCGATTTATCTGCTGTACGGGCATTATATTCTTTACAGAACATAACAATATTTACACCATGTTGTCCCAAGGCAGGCCCGACTGGAGGAGCAGGGGTAGCTTTACCTGCATTTAGTGCTAGCTTAACGATACCTGTAACTTTTTTGGCCATAATTTTTTAAATTTCAAAGGTTATATAAACAAAAAGACTATTAAATAACTGTTTTACTTAATTCAACATGCTTTATATGCAATAAAAATAGAGTTAATATAATTAACTTACCAATAATAACATATTAAACAAACAATAATACTAGATAAAATATAGAATATATAAAATGACAGGTTTTATCTAATATCATTTTAAAATTTATAAAACGTCAAATTCAAATATTGAGCTTAAATCAAATTAGACGCGCCCTGAAGGACTTGAACCCTCGACATCAGGTTTTGGAGACCTGCGTTCTACCAACTGAACTAAAGGCGCATAAGAAACAAGTCAACTAAAAATATATGTTAACAATTAAAACAGTTGGACTTTATTTAGTATACAACAAAAATACTAGATGTAAATAGCTTATTTTTTCATTAATTAAATAATATGTCTCATACAATTGTAACAGAAAAGTGTATTGGAGTTGCCGAATGCGTAAATGCATGCCCAGTGTCCTGTATACACAAAGGCAAAGGGGAGAACAACATGAAAAAGG